TATATATGAATATACTTTAGTAATTTTATTCCTTGTATTTAGCTATAGAAATTGATTATGTTTCTAACTCTCAAGAATAAGGAGACTTCATTGAATCTCGATTATAGAAATAGTTAGTAATGTGAATATACTTTTAAACTTGAACTAAAATACTTTATTATTTATGTAAAATTATCTTTACAATTTCCATATAAGTTGCTTAATTATGCTAGAATTTTGCAAATATATAATTACCATATTCTATTCTATACTTAATTTTGCATTATAATTTCATGCAACTAGAATATTTATGCTCTTTTTTTTTTTTCTTCATGCAGAGAAGATTCTAATGATGAAAGATTTTATGGAGTTGTTTGTATGTATCTTGTTATATGTATAAATTTGTATACATATAAGTGGATGTACTTACATATTTTTTGATATGTATGAACTTATGTTTGTATTCTAATTTATATATTTTGTTATAATGAGCTCATGTATTTATTTATATATATATATACTATATATGAACTAAATGTGTTTGGAAATAGATTTAACAATATTTTAATTTGTATTAAAAATTATAATATTTAATGGATATATAAGTATTCTTATAGATATAGCTACCCCTAATAAGTTGGACAATAAATATAAATTTTTAATATCAAAATAAATATTAATTATCAAAATCTCATGCCTATCATTCTTCAAGTCAAGAACAAGTATGAGCATATATGGAACTCATACGTGTATCTGCTCAGCCATGTGTCTAGATTAGATCCTATAGTTTCTTTAATTTGTCGGCTTTTCATGTCAAAATCTTCGTTGTTGATTATTAATGTTGTTAATGTCTACTTTTGAGTTTTTTTTTTTAATAAAGACAATAATTAATAAGTTAAATTAATTATTTATTAAAAATTAGGAATTCAATCTTCAAACAAAAATGAGGCGTCACTCTTCTTTATTAAAAAACGCAACTCAATAAACCGCATGGTTGAGTTCGTCTACTTTTGAGTTTGATATATTATCTTCTGGTGCTTTACAGTATGGATCCGACACCATTAGATGGTGCGGCTCATCCCCTTTACCGAGTGTTTCTACTATTTAAATAATTAGTGTTTGGCAGCTTTATGAGCTCACATACCATCAAGATTTTGGGCCGTTTTAATATTTGAAAATCTCAGGAAATATACCAAAGAAGATACTTTGATACTCAAATTAGTAATATTTAATATTTTAAAAAAAAACTTTTAAAATTGAAATGTTACAAAGAAAAAAAAACGTAATAGAGTAATTATTTTATATGAATATTGATAAAAATATTTATAACACTCATTTATGAAACTAATACCATGTCGCATTCCCTTATCGATTCATTTGTCTCAAGTCACGTGAGTGTAGTATAATTAATTTGTCTACATATTTGGGCTTGGCATGGGTTGCTTGGGCCTAAAGCCAATGTTTAGCTTATTCTCCAACAATTAGTATTTTGTAATATAATACAAATTAAATTACAAAATATTTTTATAAATATTAATAAAGGCATTCTTTAATTCAATATATTTCATAATATATTCATTAAAATATTATTACTTTTTTACTAAAATTAAAAACAAAAAAACTTAAAATTACAAATTTTAATAACTAAACTTGTGAATGTCAAAGGATGTATTGAATTAGAAGAGGTATCGATCATTGTCTTACTTTTATAGATATATTATTTCCGTATTTAGATGTTGGAAGGTTGATATTTGCTTCCATTAGAATAATGTTATTTTGCTGTTATTTTCACAGCAATTAAAGGAGCCATAAACCTTGAGTTGCATTAATGCTCTACCTGTGGCTTGGCGTAGCTGGTAACATTCTTTTACAAACCTTTACAAACCTTAGCTCTTGCATTTCTAGATGAGGTGGCTTGGCTTGTCAAGGCAGTGGCAGTAAAATTTTGGAAGCAATTTGAAGGTGGCTCTGGAATTTTTTTCCTTTGATGGATCGAGCTTGATCCTTTAATTACGGAAGGAGAAACACATAAGTCCAATCTTTCTTTTTGATTATTTGATCTAGAATTTCAATCATGTTTGAATGTTTGGCTGAATGTAGTGATTAATCCTTTGTTAAATTATTAAAAGGGGTCAGTGTAATGTAAGCCATTCTTAGTTAGCATAATATATATAAGCTGTTTTTTCAAAATTTTTGAGGACTTATCTAAAAATTTACCTTTAAATTGATATTTTTAAAAACCAACTATTAAATTGAAAATTTTATTTAT